ATGCACAGATTCCTCCTAAGAGGATGACTCACCAGAACCCAAGTCTCTGCCCAAAGAATTGTGCTCTCTGGTTGCCCTTTGAGACTCATGATGTATACCTCTTCTTATGCGGCGGCTGGCTCTATGAAATGCCTTCCTGGGAGTTGCATGATGATCTGGATTCCACTGGGGTGCGTGGCCTCCTGCCTTGGCTCCTGGCTGTTGTTGGGGCAGAAGGCCCAGGGGCTGAAGTGCCTGAGCCCAGCTGAAAATGCTCAGATAATCATTCTAATGTCTGGGCAATCCCCAAGAGAACAGCAGAATTATCTGGTGCTGAAGCCGAGGTGGGAGCTAGATTGTTGTTAGCTGCTGCCTGTGCGGCTTTGGGCCACCGAGCTGGGCCCTTGGCACCCTGAGAAGCACTTTTAGAAGGTTTAGAGGCAGTGGACCTTGTACCTTGCTGTGTCATGGCTGCATTCTTACTGGACGCCCCAGGCTTAGAGCCTACAGAGCTTTCTCCCTTGTTCATGGCACACTTGGGAGGCATTTTATGCTGCTACCAACTTGCCTTAAATTAAATCCTAAACCTTGAACTGAATTATAGCTTAACCAACCTGCCTACTACAGTGCATCCTATGTAATTATACAGTCAATGGTTTGTTCAAAACCTTCTCCCCTTTTTAAAATAAATCCTGCTTTTAACTTAAGATAGAGACTATATATTATAGTAAATGAAGACAGATAACCCCATAAACCAAGTCCAGCTCAAACCCAAACTAGCAATTAAATTGGCTGTAAGGAAATACACGTTCCGTGCACCTTGGTGTTTAGTCATGCCGGCCACATGACCACGGAAACGTCTTTGGACAGCGCTGGCTCTTCGGCTTTGAAATAGAGATTAGCACCGCAACCCTAGAGTTGGACTCGACTGGCTTTCGAGCAAGGGAACCTTTACCTTTACCTTTTAGGAAATAAAACAAACATAGAAGCTCTGATTCAATGCCAAAATGCTGCTGCCCACATGGTAATAACAAGAAATCAAATAGTTGCTTAACCCCAGTTTAACACTTATGCAATTAAAGCAACAAACTACAGATCACTGTATACCCTGTTACGTTCCCAGGCAAAGTCTAATTAAACAAACACTACCCCCAAGAAGAATGGAGGGATGGGGGATTATTGGTAACCCAGCACTCTAACAGACCCACATGGCTGCTGCCTCTAGCACAATAAACGTAAGGGAAAAGCCTCCACCTGGATGCCCAACAATGTTTGTGACCAAACTCCCTCCCCTTAGCCAGCAAACTTAAACAAATAAAACTGCTAATCAAATAGTGACTCTGTGAAACAGGGCTGTCCTAGCTGCTCTCAGTTGTATGCTTAAGAAAAAGCCTAATTACCTAGAGCCTCTCAACCCTACACTTACTTGCTATGGGTGAATCTGCTAAATGGAGTCTAGGAGCAAAGCCTGGTGGAGACCTTTGCAGAGCCAAAGATCCACAAAACAGGAAGAAGCACCTGGCCACAGTGGTTTAAATGCCTGTGAGGAGCCCACCAAAACGCCCACGTCACTGGGACTTTCCGCACTTGGATCTCATCCCTGGTTTTATCAGAGTTCAACTCGCAACACAATACCTTGCATTTATCCCTGGTTATAACAGCATCCATTTATCCCGGGACAAGTGTGGGGCAAAACTGGGGTGATCTCAATGTAATGTGGAAACAAAAAATACCCCAAGATAATTACAGGGGTAAACTCAAGTGTAGTGTAGAATGTAAATTTGGGGACAGGGTTTAAGGCCTAGTGCGGAATCACCCATGGTCACTCGCAGAGCACTTGCCTGCAGTTTACACCTCATTAAATCTTTTGCAAAAATACCTTTATGTAAGAACATAAGAGATGCCAGTGTTGGATCAGGCCAATGGCCCATCCAGTCCAACACTCTGTCACACAGTGGCCAAAAATACCAGGTGCCATCAAGAGATCCACCAGTGGGGCCAGGACTAGGGTTGCCAAGTGTACCCTTGCCAGCGGGGGAGCCTTGCTGTGCTCTGGGAGCTCTCCCAGGACGTGTGCGCGCCACCAGCACATCACAGGAAGTGACGTGCTACGTCGCTCATGTTGGGGGCGTGGCCCAGATCGTCGGGGGGAAACCCATATGGTTTCCCCCCGACAATCTGGGCCACGCCCCCAACATGAGCGACGTGGCTGCGTCACCTCTGGTGATGCAGCTTCGGGAGGTGGAGTTCCCCCCAGGGCCCGATTCCACCGCGGCGGAAATCGGGCCTCCAAAGTGGGGTTTTCCCCACCCCCCGCCCCCACTTGGCAGCCCTAGCCAGGACATTAGAAGCCCTTCCCATCAGAAGACCCCACCAAGCACCAAGAAGACAGAGCATCACTTGCCCCAGAGTCCCTATCTATACCTTGTGGCTAATAGCCACTGATGGACGTCTGTTCCATATGCTTATCTAATTCCCTTTTGAAGCTGTCCATGCTTGTAGCCACCACCACTTCCTGTGGCAGTGAATTCCATGTGTTAATCACTCTTTGGGTGAAGAAGTATTTCCTTTTATCCGTTTTAACACGACCGCTCAGCAATTTTATTGAGTGCCCACCTTTGCAGCACCTACTTAACACATATAGCGATGGCACTCGCTATCACCTCCTCAACTAGGAATTCTGTTCCATAAGGTGAGCACTATGATGGACAAATAATGGGCTCTCATCAATGCCAGGTGGACTACCTTAACTGAAGAGCACAGTTGTTGCATGAGAATGTATGGAAAAAGACTAGTCCTTTAGAAATGTGAAGAAGCAAAAACTTAAGAAAAGATAGAGGGAGCTCTGATTTGGTTGACCTTGGAGTACAGAGTCTGTTCCTCTAACTTTCAGGATCTAATGAGTAATAAAGGCCATTCTACTCATAGTATTTCCTCTTCGCCTTCACTTATGTTCTGCTTATATATTTGGACATAAAACATAAATAGATGGAAACAATGCTGAGAATCACTCTCTCTGGGATTTCTCACCATTTGAGAAAGCATAGATGATATAATATTTATTTAGACCAACTTTTGCTTAAAAGTTTTTTTTTTCAATTTATTGAACAAAATGATGCAAAATGTATGAACTGCTTGGTAGGGAGGGGGTGGCCCAGATAATGTCATGATCTAGTTTTGCTATTCAATCACATCGCTGAAAGCCATTGAAGGCAATTTTAAGTGAGGACATTTGCAAAGAATAAGCCAACAACTGTCCTAGGAGTGTTCAGAAAACTGATCCTGAAAGGGAAACATTTTTCAGCACTGTCAAAAAATGTTCACCAAATCCCATACTATGTATTTTTGATTGAACTGCTTTTGGGTTGAGACATGTCAGAAATAAATAACGAGGAATTTATCATTCATTTATTTGTTTTATTGAACCAGTTCAGTCACTGAAATATTGAAACAATTTCTCTTGCCATCAATTGCTCTGTTCTAAATAATGTGCCCCAAAAGAATGAGAAGGGGAGGGGAGAGTCATACAACTTGTATCTTGCATGGGATAAGGCAATAATAGATAGCAATGCAGAAAGCCATTGAAAACCAGACACACCAAAGCAAGGCATGGGGCTAAGCCACCAACATTCCAAGCCTGTTCAGAAAGGACCTGCCACCTGTGTGACCCTTTAGTCAAGTGTTGATATGTACAATGAAGGACAGTTCAGTGTAGGCCTCTGCTGGATTTCTTGAGCAGATGTACCAAGAAGGTTGCAGCTGGGCTGCCTGGCATTCACTAGCAGACTAGCAAGGAAACAACAAAAGAGACAGAAGCCTTCTTGCAAAAAAGAAAGAAAGAAAGAAAGAAAGAAAGAAAGAAAGAAAGAAAGAAAGAAAGAAAGAAAGAAAGAAAGAAAGAAAGAAAGAAAGAAAATCAATTACAGTTTTGTGTTATGGGAGAATCCTGATATTGAAACAATTTGTGTTATGGGAGAATCCTGATTAGACTGCTTTGGCTGCTTTGACACAGTGGCACAAGAAAGACTGAGGCCTCCTTACTGAGGCACCAGCTTGCAGCTCATAATGGAAAGGAACCAAATGATAAGCCATGCACGAGGTTCTCCCAATGGCTGCTGTCTCTCCATTCAGAGTCTGCAGCTTCTCCGGTCTTCTTCTCAGAGGCAGCTCTATCCTCATAGGAGCAGGCCAGTGGTCCACTTCTGCTGGTCTTCCCACAGAGCAATGAAATATTAGTGAAAGCTGAGTGAGGCATAGAAAGCTATTAAATCCCTGCCCAGCTGCTGACCAGGACTGCAGTGTTGATGATATAATTAATCAATTACTGGTAAAGGTCTAGCTTTCTCTTGCTAGGCTGCAGCTTGTTGCTTTCCTTAGAGCAGAAGGGAATCAGAAATTCCAGATTTGGAAATGAAATGTCTACCATTTTCTCCTCTGAATGAACAACTGAATTTGATTTTGTAACTCCTGGAAAGTTTACTTTTTAATATATATATATAAAGTTGTACTTTAAGTGCATACTTAGTTATTTCAGAATTGCTGTCAGCCCTCATCATTTCCTAAAGATTGTTATATTATTCAAATACCTAGCAATGAATGAATAGAAGGTGCAACAGAGCAGGTCTTGAAGCTTAAGCATCAATCCAATTGCCTTTCATGTAAGATACCTATGAAAAATAATTTAAAGCCACCAGTACATCAGGTCTAATCATGTTAAAAAAAAATCAATGAGATGCTGGTTTCCAGAAACCATTTCAGCAATTCCACATTTTCATTCTTGGAAAGTAACAAATGTATCTCAATTTGTAATCCGGGCAATCTCTTGCCCATTGTCCATGGGGCAAAAAAGCATTTGTAGTTTTGGTGAAAACTCTAAAATGTCATTGATTTGCCTGTTTCTCCACAATGGCTCTTCCCTACAATTTCTGCTAAAATTCTGTGGTGGTGACCTGAGTCACCTCTAACTGCAGTTCATCCCCTCTGTGTCCCTGGGAGTCCCTTTTGTGGCTCTCCATGTCTAGTCATCCTGATTTATTGATGACTTCAGAAGGAGTGCAGGTGGAGATACGTTCCCGGGTGGTGTTCCGAGCCCGGCTGAAACTGTTCTGTTCCATTCGTGACCGGAAGGGAAGGCAGAACTCCCGAAAGCACCTCTTGAAATTTTCATCCAAGAAAGCATAGAGGATAGGGTTTAGACTGCTGTTGGTATAACCTAGGGCAATACAGAAATGCAGACTGGCCTCCACATAAGGATTATTCTTGTCGATCTTTACCAGTGTCCAAACAATGACAAAGATTTGGATGGGTGTCCAACAGATAATGAAGGCAGCTACTACCACCAGCACCATACGTGTTATACGGCGCAAGTTGCGGTCCTTCTCCTTAGAACCTGAGAGGAGGCGGACGCTTTTCAGACGGAGGATCATGAGCCCATAGCAGATAGTGATGACCAAGATTGGAACCAGGAATGCGAAGATGAAGACACATATCTTGGTGACTGTGTCCCAGTAAATCTGAGGCTCAGGAAAGTGGAGGATACACATCACAATGCCGTCTGCAAAAAAGATGAAAGGAAGAGAGTGAAGAGATTTTGGATCAGTAGACAGACAACACAAGAAGCTACCTTATACTGACCATTGCTCTAGCACAGTCAGTTGTATCGTCTGACTGGCAGCAGCTCTCCAGGTTCTCAGGTAGATCTTTCACATCACCTGCTAACTGATCCTTTTAACTGGAGATGTCAAAGACTGAACCCGGGACCCTCTGCATGCAAAACAGATATTCTAGCCACAGTTCCTCTCAAGACTGAGAAAGAGAGAAAGTGAGAGAGGATAGGCAGGGACAAGGTGGGGAATTAAAATGGCTCTGGATAAAGACAAATTGAATGGCCCTTGTGTTAGTACCATGGGGCTACTCAGTTCAGTGGCACCAACAATGGGCAATGTAGCATTGCTTTTCCCCTCAAATTGGCAGCAGAAGGCAATTGGTGAGTTTACATCTATCATCATTACAACTGAAGGGCCTAAGTCAAGGGGTTCCTTGGGAACTAGCAGAATTTTTGGCACTTGACTTGGTTTACTCTTAGCTGCCAGTGTCCCTTTAGGGTAGTGGCCCACTGAGAAATATCACAGTAAATTAAATTAGCCTAACCTGAGGCTTGGTTATGAAGTAACAACACGTTTTGTTATTTTGTGAATGAGCCTGGAAGAGATGATCAAACTCTTTATTAGTGTGTGGCTAGATAATTGGATGGAGCTGCGGTGGCTCAAGTGGTTAAGACGCTAAACTGCAGGCTGTGGAAGGTCAGTAGTTCAGCAGTTCGAGACCCGGGTTGTCGCATGACGGAGTGAGCTCCCGTCTCTAGTTCCAGTTCCTGCCAACCTAGCAGTTCGAAAGCAAGAAATTGCAAGTAGATAAATAGGTACCACTTCAGTGGGAAGGTAACAGCGTTCCGTGCACCTCGGTGTTAAGTCATGCCAGCCACATGACCACGGAAACGTCTTCAGACAGCGCTGGCTCTTCGGCTTTGAAACGGAGATGAGCACCGCAACCCTAGAGTCGGATTCGACTGGCTTTCGAACAAGGGAACCTTTACCTTTACCTAGATAATTGGACCTTTCTGGGTTAGCATCAAACAAATGTTTGCATCTAAACCAGTAAACTAGCATTAATGTCAGATTAATGTCTGGTTTTGCAACAAGTGGTAATTTATGACTCCTGGACCACAGATTGGCTACTCCTGATCTACATAAAGTTAGCATGCTGTAGTGGTTAGAATGTCAGGCTAGGATTTGGGAGACCCACGTCTGAGTCCTCACTCTGCCATGGAAGTTCACTGAATGACCTTTTGCAGGTCATGCACATTCAACCTAACCTATGCCACAGGGTTTTGTGAGAATAAAATGAAGGGGAGAATGTTGTGTCCCAGTTTGGGTCCCCACTGGGGAGAAAAATGGAGTATAAATGATTATACATATGTGCCAGTAAAGCAGTCTAGTGCTTGCCCAGCAAACCAGGATTCCAAACCCAGTTTAGCCCTGGTTTACAAGGGAACATAAAACTATAATTGGCTGGTTTGGCAAATAATGGTTTGCTCTGAAACTGGGGATCTCCAATGAGTTGGCTCTGTGGAGGAAGAGGATGGAACATGTCGGTCCAAGGATGCCATTGGGCCATTCATGTTTCAGTAAACCACGGTTGACAGTTACAGCTGAACTGAGATAATAAAATACCTGTTTACTCAGTTCTGTTTTATTGCATAGGGCCAATGGCCATTACAAAATGTTAACCCTAAAAATTGTATACAATAAAACACAGTACTGGGAGATTAAGTTAAAATACTATAAAATTACATTTCAAAACTTTTTTCATAAGATAATGAAATTACTCCCATAAGCAACCGACCTATGCTGATGCTAGCTTGGCCTGAAATTTCTTTGTTGCTAAGGCAAAAAGGGCAACCTTATATGAGATCTCTGATTCCACATCTGCAACCTTCTAGCATGGTTATTTGCATTGTTTGGAAATGAATAGACGTGAAAGCTGAACGTAATTTTAAAAAGGAGATCTTGGACAGATATTGTGCCCTGAAATGACCTAGCTTAATAAGCTTGCCGTGGTGGGGAGGGAGGGATATAAATTAAATGAATAAAATAAATAAATAATTTATACCAAGGTGAAAATTTGGTTCCCAATATAACTTGCCTGTCTAAAGCAACATTGTGTGAGTATATCTGAACAACATCTGTCAGACTATATATTAGGAGAATTTTGTTATAATTGGACTGCCATTTTGGATCTTTTAGGCTAATGGAAAAACAGATGCTTGAGAGATGACTTGCTGGAGCTCTCTTCAGTTTATGCCAGTAATTAAATAAGGCTTTATGTGCACATGGCCAAAGAGAAGGGAGGCCTAATTCAGCTCTCAGCAAAGCAGCTGGAGTGTTAGGAGGTAGTACTAAAATCCTTTTCAGGAAAGAATTTTGGATTCTCTCTAGATTTGCAATTAAGGCATCATTCCATCCCCACAGCTCCACACTGTAGAGGAGTTGGGCAATTACCTTATTCTGGAAGAGCTTTAAGGCCTGGTCTATCTGAAAGTCCCCTTTGTAATGATAAAATTTAAGGATTGCCCCCTGTTGACCAGAGGGCTGTTGATTTTGCAATTTCTAGGTGTGCCTTCCAAGAGAGTGTATCACTAAAGGTGATACCCAGATATTTAAAGGTTAGACATTGCTAAATTTAGTGCTGTCAAAATTAGACAGTCTTATTTCAACCTTTAAGGCATCGAGTCTTGTCCCAAACCTTTCTGCTCAGGATTTACTTGACCTCAGTATCAAACATACAAAGGTATCCAAAGATCATTAAAAATCGTTCTAACTCCAACGGGGAGCCCCCAACAGCTCATTCTCCAGCCTCATCAAGTCTGTTGGTATTTTTATTCATCGTTTGGACCTACCACAATGTGGTACTTGAAAATCAGAGCAGGGAAGCACCTGAGACTATTTCTGGGACCTAAGAACAAAATATCTGACTTAAAAGAAATTGAACCTCTTTACAGCATTTCTGGCCCTAGTAGGTTTCTGCTAACCTTTGAATGTTGAGTATCCACATTTCAGATCTTTCAGAGGAAAAAACCCTCTACAATGTACACAGTGCAAGTATTTAACAACACCCTGTGTACCCCTCTTTTTCCTCAAAGAAAGTCTAGGGTTGACAATTTAGTCCCCTCCTTTAAGAATTCCATGAGAGTGCTAGGCAAGGGACCAGCTAAAGCCTTAATCAGCTGGGAAGATTGCCCAGCTGTTCTTTCAACAATTCAACTGGGGATCCCTTTATTTTTCCAATCTACTGAGGAAGAACTAATTCATTCTTTTAAAGCCCTTCCTGACTCTAAACAATTGGCTATTACTGACAGATTGGCACACTTGAGGACAATACTTCTGGAGCTGAGGGACAATAATACTTTTCCTTCTGTTTCTATGCCCCCAGCATCATCAATGGACATTAAACCTAGCCAGGTTCCTTCTGACAGTCAATCCTTACAAAGTGAACCTAAAGAATTTAATTTAAATCTACCAGGGAAGATCCTAGCTCCCACAATAAAGTAGTTATGTCTCACCTTTTAAAAATTCTTAAGCCCTCAGATATAGAACCTTTCAATTAATATCTAGAGGACCATGAGCATGGCCTGTCTGACCCTCCAATGGAGCGTTCAGTCCAAAATTCCTCTTCTAGACTTCCTACTACAGTCCCCAATAAAGTCTGTGTTTTTCTAGATACCAACAAGATCTTGGATCTAGTTGAGCATGTAGATTGACAGTTAAAAATTATTTCTTGCCTATTTACTCTGCCATCTGTTTATTGAAAGAAGTGTAGGGAAAATGTTGGGTTTTGCAAGTATCATCCCTTCAGTCATGAAAGGGTTAAACTGATGTTTCTGTAAGCTTGTAAACAAGTTCAGCATAAAACCAATTAGCCATTGAGTAGAATCTTCCCGTCAACAAGGCAGAGATTTTATTCTTAATGAGGTGATTTTAAGATTAACTATTGGCTAATCAATACATCAGAGATAGTACATGCTATTCTGCACGTATGCAAGGGGTTAAATATCCAACTTGCTAAATATCCAACTTGTAGGGTTATGGGCCCAGAATACTGCCACGTGTGTTTTAGCTTATAAACAACAGGGAGCAGAATATTTTTGAGAGAAGAATCAACGTTTTGTTTTTTTTCTTGGATACATTTTTCCAAAACCAGATTTACTAGCAAAAGGATCTTTCCACAGAGCTTGCACTGGAGCAAGACAGCAGGAAGATTTCCTTTTTGTTTGACCCTTGCCAAGAAGAAGGAAATGGGTGCATCACCAGAGAAAGGAGAGTTGAAACAAGAGAGATGTCTATGAATTGCAAAAGCAATGCAGCTCCCCCTCCCTGCTTCAAGTTCCAAAATTAAATTACCAGAACTACTTAATATGGAAATCAAGAATTCTGTGTGCACTGGAGATTCAGAAAGTATTGCATGCTATTGGCAGGCAGGCAGGCAGGCAGGCAGGCAGGCAGGCAGGCATTTATTACGGCAACAAGCCATAGAACACACATGCTTAGCATACTATTGAAAATAATCCTCCTCAGGATCCAGGAGAAAGGGAGGAATTCTGGGAGGCTGATACAAAAGCATGCTTTGTAGTACTAACCTCCATAAGTTATAAAGAGGGCTCTCTACTGACTAACTGCAATACTACTAAACACCTTTGGTTAAAGCTGGAAAATAGATTCTTAAATAATCCAATAAGCATGTGAATTTTTTGAGATGGAAACGCTATCATTTTAAGCTGTGAGAGGGAGGGGATGTGTCTGCACATTTGGATGCCATAATGGAGCAAGTAACAGAGCTCCAGGCTACAGGGATAGAAACCATGCCAGGAGAATATTACGATTCTGAATAGTTTTCCAAGCTCCTATTCTAATCAGATTGAAGTCAAGATATCAATTAGACATTGAATATACTTTGAATTACCTCCGAGATGAGGCATAAAAAGATCAATTACAGAGG